GGCAGCTGGAAGTTTGCTGGCAGCTGGAAGTTTGCTGGGGCCCCTTCAGCTGTGGCTCTCAACACAAAAGTACCTGAGTCTCTGCATGAAGCAAATAATGGGAGGGTAACCATATGGGAAACCATGGGTAGGAAAAAACTAGTAGAGTTTGATGGGTGTAGTGGTGCATGCCTATAATCCCAGACTTGGGACACTGAGGCAGGAGGATCACAAATTCAAAGCCAGCCTCAGCAATTTAGTGAGGCCCTAAGCAACTTAGCAAGACCCCATCTCAAAAACAAACAAAACAGGTTGAGGGTGTTGCTCAGTGGTAAAGCTTAAACAATCAACCAACAAAATTAGTAGAGTTTGTTACGTAAATTTCTCTGGTGAACATCTTCAGGATATGTCTAATGTGGACTTCGTGATTGACTTCTGTCCTTGGTAGAGAGGGGAGGAATGACACTTTTGTAAGCTTATGTCCTACTTTCAGGAAAATACAAGGAGGAAAGAGGATTTTTCTTATACTTATTTGTTTCCTTTGAATTGCCCTCAGCTCAAATATGGCATTCAGCAGAGAAAAGTAACTAGAATAAAACCAAGATATTTAAGGTACTGATTATTGTCATTTTCCCCTAATCTCACATGTGGCATACAGAACACTGAAGACTATAATAACGGTTCCTTGGGGCATTGATTATCAACTGACATGCCTGTGTTCTGGAAAGAAAAAAAATTGAGAAAATTGGTGGAATGGTGAATATAATTTTAGAAAGCTCTAGAATTTTTTTTGTTTATACCCCTCCTCACATTCTCTCATACTATCTGGAGAATAACTTTTGTATAAAGTCACCATTAGCTAAAGGAAGAGGTCGCAAAAAAGGATTGGTGTAAATGTGGTATAGAGTGGCCAAGAGAAATATGACCTAAGAAAGTGTAGTAAGTTTGGTCATTTAGTGGGGGGCAAGTATAGTTTGAGGTAACGAATATGGGCGTTCCAGCCAGGTGAAGTGGTGTACACCTGTAATCCTAATTATTAAGGAGGCTAAGGCAGGAGGATTACCAAATTTGAGGCAATTATTAGTAATTTAGACCCTGTCTCCAAATAAAATTTTTTAAAAAAGGAGAGCTAGGGATATGGCTTAGAGGTAGAATGTTCCTGAGTCAATCCCTAGTACTGGGGAGGGAGTTGGGGGAGGGGTACGAGGAGGAAGTAGATGA